AATCTGCGTTGTGTCGTGCCAGTTCTTCAGCCAACTACTTGCCATCATTAGTAATTCCTTGGTCAGTCGTTCTTTCTCACCTCTCGGTCTTTTTTTGCACTTTTTTTGCTTCATGCTGTGCTAGTTCTTCAGCAACGTTTTTCCTCAGCAGTGCTTGCTGCTGCTCTTGCCATGTGTGAATTTCCTATTAACTTGTAAGCATGCATCTGACTGAATGCATCTGTTGCACTTACTTGCTTTTCCCGCTCTCGCTCTCTCAGAGCCTTTTCCCATCGCTCGTTGAAATCGCGTGTGGCGCTCATGCTCTTCTCTGCAAGACGTCGTTGCTCCTCAATGTGGTCTTGAGCTTCTCGGCGTATCTGCCGGTATGATCAGCAGTGTATCCCCAATGAGCTTCTCGTGCGTACCACTTCAGTTTCCTCTATAATGTTGTTAATACGTTCTTGTTGTTCATACACAGTCTGGCGAAGTACCTGTGGAATAGTCGACTTCCTGAATGCGACGCTTTCCCAATATCTGGATGGGTATCATGAGTCATGGAAGCTGATTCGTACTATCTACATACCACTTCCTCTCTGCCCTCTTTTCGAGTCGCGGTACACTGGTGGGAGGCTGACTGATGTCGAGTCGTGGTACCACTGGTGGGAGGCTGACTGATGTCGAATTGCAGTACACTGGTGGGAGGCTGGACTGAGAACATCCATGAAGTCGCCAGGACCCTTATCATCGTCTTCATCGTCACCAAATAAATCCGCGTCATGAGACGTTTGTACGTCTTCTTGCTGAAACTCAGGATGCTGCATGTCGACGTCAATGTTATGGCGCTTATAGCGGGGGAATAATTCATCGTTAGTTTGCAAACATCATTCCTGGGTATTTTTAAGTTTCGTGCATGCATTTTTGTCTTGATTCTTCTAGACGTCTGTTGTATGAATGAACAACAGTTTCCAACAGGTCCAGGGCCCATCTCCATTGCTTTCAATTATCTTTTGCTCTATTCACTCTCTTACAATTACCTCGCACAATTAACAATTACCCTTGACAACTAGGATTATCATTGCAATGCTTCGGTTTGGCTCCCCGCTATAATTTTTTTGGCTCCCCGCTATTTTTTCGTCAACTACAATCCGAAACGATTATGGTTATTGTCTTTTGACTCAGCACGTGAAGTTATTAAAAGACGGATCGCTGCTATAGCCTGCTTCCATCGCCCGCTTTCATCGCCCGCATTCATCGCCCACCTCTTAGATTATTGCTTGATCGAATTATAATCATCAGATGGTAAACACTCGCACATTTATCCTTCCAACATCTGCTGTGAGTTATCGCTTACTACCTCACACCCTTTATTTACCTTCAAATCAGACCCCGGAGCTTCACCTGCGGTGCAGGCTATATTCAGCATCGTGGACCAGACCCCGTCAGGTCACTATGTTGACGCGTTGCTCTGGCCGCTCACGCGCTGCTCAGTTTTCCTGTTCCGGAAAGCCTTCTCGAGGAGGCTGCAGTGCAGCCTTATGTTCACAACTGTTTCGTGAATGTGTGGGAAGGGAGATACATCCATCGATTCTGCATCTTCTTCAAGCGACATCTTCGTCTCCGAGCCAACGTGCTTCTTAGTAAGGGTGGTCATAAGTTCCGAGGCGATGCAGTTGTTATGAGGGTTGGAGTCAACTATCCCTCTGTTGTGAACATGCGAGGCAGAGATAATGCGCTTGCTGATTTTTTAATTCACCAGTGAGTAAACTCAATGATCTATTGAGCCTACCATAACTATCTTTTCAGCTTTGCGCAAAGCATAAGTAGTCGTCCAAGAGCTAGGCTCCCACGCGATCTTACTCTTGTAAAACCCTTGAGGACTCGTGCCAATTGTCGGTCAGCTGCAAGGTGTAGAGTAGTAGTATAATTTGCATTGTTACATACCAAATTTCTCAGCTGGACTGCAGATATACAAACAAGATCCTTCTGATCTTGATTAAACATTTGAAAGCACCGGCTTGAACTGATACTGACGGGTTCTGGGTAGCTTCGCAGACAACTCAACTTGCATGATGTAGTTTCGCTCTTCCTGATGCGCGTAAAACTCACGGTTACTAATCTTTCTACACCTGTTATTTTTAAGCCAAGGATGCGCGAAACATCTCCGTTGCTTGGGCGTTTCTGGTATTCCATCCATCCTGTCTTGAACATGCTTGATCTTGGAACACCAGCTTAATATAGAACGCATACAGCAGTAATAATGACGGAGACATAATGCAGTGGGGTATCACTTCCTGGCCTTGCTCTGCCTACAGCCATTTCTCCCTCCTTTCGTCTCGCGGCCAGATGTGTATTTCAGGCGTGTCATGATCAAATCGTGACTGGCCACAAGTTGGTATAATTGTCAAGGTCTGGGAAGTTGTCGAGCGCTGAGATGATAAGTTATTGACAATATCGAGACTCAGAGAAACTGTTCACCTTGCCATGCACGACTTCCAATAGCATGGGACTTTGGGCAGACGCACATTTGGTGTGTCAAGGTGGTTGTCGATGAGACTATGCATAGACCTCTTAGGAATTGGTCAGTTAATTTGCAATACCAAGGGTACAATGACAATTTGCAAAACC